AAGAAGTAGAAGAAAAAACCTTCTTATCCCAATGAACAATAAGAGTAGAAACAGACTGTGGCAGTTTCCCAACATGTCGTCAAGAGGATTTAAGTGCAATCCTGTGTGCGATACTGTGGTGTCTTAGGGACAAAAACACCTTGAACTTTGGCAATGCCATTTTCCTTGTAGGACATTTTAAATATTATGACCAATCGGAGGTGCCTGATTTTTGGACCTCAGGAGCACGTCAGGATGCCCTGCACAGCACAGAACAATGTATTCACTGGTTAATATTCTCTCTGCGTAGGATTTCTCTGGTAGGTGCTCTCCTCACAGGGCTTCCCCTTAGCACTGACTGAGAAACAGGGGGTAAGCAGTTTGGGGCCCCAGGCTCTTCCTGTTCCCAGCATTCTTTGGTAAGGGGAGGTTACAAAAAAGCCCTCATCCCTTATTTTCCACATTACTGTGCCTTGGGACCTATACTCCATTTCAACACAAATCTCCCAGAACATTTTTTCTGCTGACAGCGAGAGAAAAAGCAGAACAGTGAACAAAACGCCTTTCAGAGCCCTGGCTCCAGCCTCCCCCCCACAAGCCCAAAGAAGGCCAGGGAACCTTGGTCAGGACTGGGGTCCTTCCTTCCTAGCCCCCAGGGAGCTTGCTTTGTCCCTAACCTCAAACACTGTCTTATAAACACAGCCACTACTGCTGGGCTATTAGCCCTGTCAGAGACATAGCAAGAGACGCAGCAGCCAGTAAACTTGACTCCTACCAGTTCAAATCCAAGTTAGCCTCCTGACAATACTGCATAAGAAGCCCATAAAGCAGTATTTCTACCTGGTATACTACTTGGACAAACAACATCAACTGTTATCTACAAGAATACTTGCTTACCGACTGAAAAAAACCAATGTAAAAAGTAACATACTATGAGTCTATCGTTTCTGATGGACCTTTCAGCTCCCCCCATTTTCAGGATTTCAGAAATGCTCCTAATGTGTTGACTGAAAATATTCAGACACTGAAATCCTTGCCCTGTGAAGCAAAGCTGCCCCTTTGATTTGATCTGCAGAATGGTCTCACAAGTCAACATAATTCTGATTCCCCTGCTGATAGAAGCTAGCACAACTGACATCTAGCTGAAATAAAGTAATGAACACAACAGACAATCCTTATTAAAGAATCAAATAAAACTCTGAATACATCAATCAAAAATGAGCATACAACCAATATTTTCTGGTAATCCTTATCTAGGAGATGAAGAGAGAAGAACAAACTCAAGCTCAAATGGTAGGTTACATAGGGCAGCAACTGTCCTTTTTGTTTTATGGGTCTGCAACACCTGCCTCAGCAGAGCCCCAACCCCTGATGGGGGCCATTAAGCAATACTTCGGTATAAAGAGAAATTAAACAAGTAACTCCCAACTAGATACTCATGCATGCAAGGTATTGTCAAACAAGTTTTATGTAGTGCTGCATAAACGCCAGTTGACTTCAGCAAGAATCAAGGGCACACAGCATTTTGTGAGGAGGGTGCACGGTCATTTAAAACATTTCTCTCTATCTGTAGTAATCAAAACAAGTTATAGCCAGGCTACAGCTATATGTCTAGCTTGAAGACTGCTTGTCTGTACAAGAGAACCATCTGGATTTACTTTACAGTTAACATTAAAATATATATATATATAAGGTTTCTTAACTTTTGCCAAACAACTGGAAACATAATGGTTTCTGCATGCTGTTAGCATCTCAGTACAGCTGCAGATGTCCATTAGGACAATCTTATATAATTATATACTTATTCTTCCTATGCAATTGTTAAAAACCCAGCTTTTCCACATAATAATGTATTTTGTAGCAAAGAGGAAAACTTCCAGTCCACCAGGTTGGAATGGGGGAGGGAAGTCTTCTAAAGCAGAACTTTACTCAAAGCTTTTATTTTAAACTAACATAAAAATTTCAAGCCTTAGAAAACAGAGTGTCAGATTTTTCCAACTGTACCTTTAGTGTGGTCTAGACAGAAATCTATCATGTCTCTCCCTTCTTTTCTTTACCCAGTGCTTGTGGAAGAAATTAAGTCCTCCTAAGAATTTTTTTTTTTTTTTAAAAAGTTTTTGCTTTTTTTCCCCCTTCCCCCCAAATGGGACTTTAGCTCTCATACTTCCCCACAGCTCCATACTCTGTGCCACAGAAACAGCCACCTAGGAAGCTGGTCGGTGGCATTTTTTTGGCCACAGTCTTACTTATTCTGCTTGGGTGTCATCCTTTTTCCCATCTAAGCCTTTGTCTCTTCCATCTAGAACATCACCTCTCAAGGATAAGAATTGCCTTTTATCATGTATCTGAACAGTGCCTAGTGCTGTTCTTGGTTGGCCCTCTGATGCTTTCAGAATACACATGAAAAATAAAGGGATAATGAATTTTGCCCAGGGTCAGGTTCTGGGGCTGGTGCAGTTGCTTTGCTAAGACAGGCACGTGGGGCCAGTGGGAGACTGCACGCGAGAGCCGACCACCAATAGCAGGGACCTGCAGCCTGCACAGGAGCAGGCTGAATGCATGCAAGGCTCCAGGAAGGGGGAGTGATCTGCACGTTCAAAGCACCACCATCAGCTTAGCCAAGATTTTCAGAAGTGACCAGTAACATGGCAAACATCTGCTTTTAGGAGCCCAAGGCAACTATTCAACTTTCCAGAGGGCGGGTGCTTACCTCTTCCCAAATAAGAGCCTTCCTGCTCTGTTTCCCATGTGTCCGGGCTCCAAAGCACTCTGAGTCACTGGCCACTCTCAAAACATCTCAGCAGCTAGTATTTTTTACTTAACAAAAGCAAAACTAATGGAAACACACACATAACTGGTCCCCAAAATAGAACATTTTTCCAGGAGATGAACGATCCCTGCCTACATGTTCTTGGGACCCTATGGAGCAAGGGGCACAAAGGCTTGTATTGTTTTGACAGCCAAGCAGACAAACAAATACTTCTGTTTCAGCTTAATATTCCCAGAACTCAAAATGCCAGCCTGAAAAAACAATACCACAAAACATTGTCATGCCATTGATCTGACATCAGAAAGACAACCTTGGGGAGTGACAGCCCAACAGAAGTAACAGACCACTGCCTATCCCCACGCTGTGCCACCCAGGGCGCACAGACCTTCCCTCACACACCTTACAGAACAGCCCTCTCTCACCAGCACTGCCAGTCTGCTGTATCATCTTACCCATATTCCCCCATACTGGGTCGCCTGCAGGGATAAAAATAAAACAACTGCTGCTAGTTTCTGTTTTATGGGGTCTGTATCTCCTTCTCCACAAAGTTTCTTTGTTATCAGTATAGAATTAATTTGCACAACAACCTTCCAAAGGTAACTTAGAAGGCACAGCAGGTTTCTAACATCTAAGCTCTTTCTCATTTTAAGAACGACTATCTGAATAATTAGCAGGGAGGAGCTTGGCTGCTCTGCAATACAGAAACTTGGCTAGAGTGATGCTGTTAGAATGAAATGGCAGCAAATCCAATGCCCAGAACTTGAACTGAAACTGTTTGTTATTACTTCACATCTGTACTGCAGTACTAGCCATGGGCCATGACCAGGTCTGGTCCTGGTCCTTCTGGGATGACCTTTTAAACGGATGGGATGACAAAGGAGGTTGGAAGGATTTGAAGTAAAATTAAAAATAACTGATACAGTCAGGAACTTGTGTCCCACTAAAAATTAACAGCATCTACCGTGGGACTTGCATACTTTGGGAAAAATGCTTGGGCAACCTGAAACTTTGGTCAGGCATAGGCATTTGCATTCACAGAAGACTCTCTCTGTTCTTGGGAGAGATGAAAAAATTCCACAGTGGGTATTCAACAACAACTGGCTGCTTTTTGCATGCACTGGGGTGAGAGTAGGGAGCACTGCGAGCCGCAAAGATAGGCAAGCAGCGCACACAGGCTTGCTGAGAGAGAACACTTCCAAGACAGTTACCTCCATAGGAGAGGTGGGAGGCCCAAGAAAGCAGCTGCAGAGACCAATGGGCTACTTCCCGCTATCATGTGCTTGTCCTGACTGGTCTCTTTACCTCCTTCCCCCACTCCCAGGCAGAAGGCAATGGATCTGAAGAATTTCTCCTTAGAAATATCAATACTCCCATGACAGCTGGAGCTGCTTCATTGCAAGCCCGGCTCCAGCAGCACTGAACTCTCATTACTCCTAATGAAATTGTCTGAGTTGGCAACACTGAGGCATGGTTTGCTGCAGAACAAATACTTGGGGAGAGGATATTGTGTACCAGTTGCTCACATGTGAGTACTGATCCCTCCATCAGACAGCCCTGTGGGCCATGAAGGTCACCACTCTCGTAGCAAACAAAGTGCTGGAGTGGAAAAGGTGCGTGTGGCTCTGATGCTGGGGAACCCTGATTTGATCTGTGATGAATCTGGCTGTGGCTTACTACAGAAAGTTTGAGACTTTCTTCAATAGGAAGGCATGGAGCTTTTCAGGAAACCTTTTTAAGGAAGTAGGGAATTTTTCAAAGGTTGGAGAGTGTACCTCCGCCTCTTTTTTGGCAAGCTGTGCCCATGTCGCCAGAGCTGAGCACCACATCACCTTCTTAGCAGAGAAAGGCATTTCAGAAGTCAGATGGATACTGAGAGCAGCAGTGCTGAAGAAAACCAAGACAGTAGGTAGGGGAAGGTGGCTTTCTGGTAGTGCCCATGCAAGAGAGGAGGACCTTGTTGGGTTGCCACCTCTCCCATTGCCTGTTGTGCCAGTGCCAAAGCGCTTGTGCACAGCATGACAGAAAACAGCAATGCAATGCTCCTAACTCACATGCAGCAGTAAATGTAGCACCGGGCTCGACAAGGGGACAAGAAAATGATGAGTTTTGCTTAACTATAGTTGACATGCAGGCATCACATTATCTTAGTCATACCAAGGCTAGGTAATTAATTGCCAGGTTTAATGTTTCAGGTCACATCAGGGAATAGTTTTACCAGCAGATGTAAAGATAGTCCTTTGGAGTGGGTAGCACTCAAGGTCAGAGTCAGCAAATCCTCCTCTAAAAATAGACTCTAGTTGCAAAGTTGGTAAGATTTCTTTTGTCGTTCGGCCGCACTTCACAGGACCCAGCTACCTAGAGCACCCACCTAAGCCTAGAGGTAAGGCTAAGCAACATACATTTTCTGCTGTACTTGTGCTCCTTTTCTTCCTTTTATAACCTAGTTTAAGTAAACCAGGGAGAGGACTGAGAGCTGGCAAACTTTCTAAGGTAACCAATAACTTCATAAACTTGTTGCAGGGAAAAAAAAAAAGCTTAAAACTATTGCAGAGTCAAAGAGGTTTTGAAAGTATCTTTTATAAGTTTTTAAAAAACAAATTGGTCATGTTACAGAAATGACTTTATAAAATAGGAATGAGGTGCCAAGACTGTATTTACCTTAGAGATAATTTCTATTTAAAAGTTAGGAATAAAAATGCATTTTTTCAAGCTTTTGTAACATCCATCCCAGAATATTTTGCTTATTCTTCGATAATTGCTCCACCCTCCAGTCAAATCTAATGTTTCCAATTGAATTACAATTCTCTCAGATGATGCTGTGTTTTAAGTTTCTTTGGGCACTCTCATAATATTTAATGAAATCTCAGCTTAATCTGTTTTAAATTAACCAGTTCAGTCAACAATAAAGAATGAGGGCAAAAATAAGTTTTTAAAAAGTCATCAGTGGCTTAGAAATTCATTGAAATAGCTGGTTAGTTTTGAATATTCACAGCAGGAGGGTCTGGGAAATAATTGCACAGAGGCTATGATTCTTCTGGTTTTAAACTGTTTAAAGACAAATGCATTGGATTAACTATTTGACAGTCCCTGAACGCTTCAAGCATAAGAATGCAGGGGTAAAATACAGGAACTGAAGTAAATGACAGTTTTTGGTGAAGACTAGAACAGGAATAAGGAACACAGGATTGTGTTATTCTTCGCTTAAGTATAATGCAGGTACCCCAGGGATTTCTGGGTTTGGATGTACACTGCTTTGCTTAATTCTTTTAGAGCTCTTTCAGAGAAAGATTTTTTGAAGGACTTACTCCTCCTCCCTCCCAAGAACTATTTGTACAAAATTAATTTTTTTGGTCTAGTGTTAGGGAAAATAACCACCCAAGGAACCTTTGCAGCACTGTACCTCATTGCAGTACCCTGGGGTGCAGCAAGAGCCAGGTTACACAGGAAAACATACAGCTCTTCATGGCTATTGCCAACATTTGGAGTCTGAGCAAAATGTCATGGGGATGGCATATCAGGGAGCACCATTTTAAATTCATTTAGTTAAATCATCCAGAAAGCAAGCTTTTGTTACTGCAGCTAACTGACACTCAGCTCAACTCATGTACTTCGAGTCATTGAAAGCTTAGAAACCAAAGCACCATTTACCCTCCTCCCAAGTGCAAACACTGCGCTCCAGACAGCATGCGCATTGGTTTCTGCAAGGAGAACTTTCCAGTTTATAAAACAGCCCTCTGCTTCATCATACTCAAAAAGGGCAAGTACTTTTTCACCCTGAAGTACCTGGCATGCTGGCTGGAAATGGAAGAACAGAGCATTTCTTAGAATTCATGAACTTGCTCAATAGATCCTCCCTCACTACTTCTGAAGACCCTCAGTCATTAGATCTCATTTTTGTTTGCCTTCAGCACCGAGAGAGTGCTTACCTGGAGAAAGGTTACTAAACTAGATTCAAGACTTTTGCACATTTTTTTCAAAGCGTAGGAGAACTGGTATTCTCCATCCTTAACTTCTCTCAGGTACTTCCCTCTCTTGTTACAGACACCGTTTCTCCATGAAGGTCTTATCTAAGGTGGTTATTAAACTGAAAGAGGTAAATAAAAATAAAAGCATTATTTTTGCAGTTGGCTGGAAGCCAAGAAGGTCTCAGGTTTGGACTCCCTGGAAGATAGATGTCCTCTGATTTCAGTGGTATTGAATTCTACCTGATAAAAACATTCAAATAAGTCAGCTCTCCATACAACATCAGAAAAAAAAATAGGAATAATTTCTCAATAACAAGCACTTCATGCACAAAATGATTTCTTAATAAGGGTGGGGTTTTTTTCCATTTTATTGTTCTTTCAAATTTAGTGTTCATGGCAGTAGAAAAATTCAGTCCCTAGACTTGAGGGTCAAACCACTGGCAAATTTCAAGGGTACCATGTTTATCTCCTACTGCACTGGTGTGGGCATAATGTCTACTGGAAATGTTATTACTTCTGTAGACTTCTCATGAAAGGCCCAGAGCTGACAGATAGTCTGCTTTGGTTATTTTCTTTCCCTCCCTTTGCACCTTGATAAAAAAAACCTTAAGGTATCACAGCTCCACTCCTTTTTTCAGAGCTGTCACAAGGAAAGAGGTAGGAAGCAAAATCTGAAAGCATCAAAACAGGAATAAGATTAAAAACTGCCTCCACATTTACAAATAGGTTATGTATTTAGGTGTTTTCTGGATGCTGAAAACCTTCAATTCCCAGCTAAAGCAGAAGAATTTGGGACTGCTTGGTATTTTCAGGGAGAAGTAACTTTTAGACAACTCTGAGTACAAAACCAAGGCTGGTACACTTGGTGCACACCAAATTAAGTTTAATAAAGCCAGCATCAAAAGCCCCACTAGCACAGGTGACTGATGTCATATGGGCTGGGAGAACTCCAAGAGCAGGAAACATGGGTGGTAAAGAATTTAAACTATTCTGCTATATAAATATGGACTGAAGCAGGCATTAAGTCACAGAAGCCCTGTGCCCTATGTCAGGCAGGACAAAACAGCTAACAGGATTACAGTTGTTCCTTCTGAAGGAAAGAGCAAGGAAAATTGTCTTCTGTCTCCATTTTCCTTCCTGCCTTTTATTTGTTTAGCCTCTCTCGTTGCAGGTTTGTACCAACACCATTGGGTTCCGACCTTATTGGGGTTCTGTAGCTTGAGGCACAGAAACACAGCTACAAATTGGCAGCCAGAATACATATGCTTGGGACAACAGCAGTGATGGAGGAACCCTCCTGGGTCAGGGAGGGATGCAGAAAAGAAGGGGAGAGGGTACATAGTTCCTTGCAAAGGACAAAGGCAAATGCAATCCTTTCCTGTGCATGTCTGCCATTTTTTTTTTTTTTATCCCCCCCCCCCCAATCTCTACAGCTGACTTAGATCTTAACACCCAGGCATAAATCTTGCCAAATTGTTCGGCATCTTTATACACAGCGCTAAGGCTTGCACAGCACGTTGAGCCAAAAATATTAAGAAACATAGTATTTTGTTATGTAGATAACGACTTGCAGCTTTCAGTCTCAAAGTACTCAGAAACTTCCACTACATCTGGAAAACCAGCATCAGAAACATACACACCACCACCGAAGCTCTGATGTTCACCTCTAGATATGAACCTCAGCTTCTTCCCCCCACATCTGTGGGATTACCAAACTGTAGAGCTCATGACTGACATTTCCAAAAGCATTAACTAACCCCTTAAAAATGTTGAGGTGGGGGAGGCACATCCCTCCAGTTGAACAAATTTGAAAATGGGCCACAATTCCAGGGCTTTCCTGGAAATTTTGGGTTAATTTGAGTAGCTCCAAGGGACACAAGACAAGGTGCAGAAAGGAAATCTTTCACTGCCATATCACTGCTCCAGTCACTAGACTGTGTTCACTCTCTGAATTAAACAGCAGATAGAATGGCAGATTTTCCTTTCTTTTTTCCCTTGCACTTGCTTTCCTCCCTCCCTGTTTTGTTAAAAATAAAATAAAAAAAGCTAAAAAGCTCTGTAAGAAATTCCATTTGGCAGCTGTCAAGTGGATAGTGAACATAAAGAAGAGATTCCTTTGCTGTGCCTAATGCATGCTGCTTATCCAAATTAGCCACACAATTACTTCTATCAATGCAAAAATAGTTTAATTTTTTTTTTCTAGCGCACAGCACTTGAGAACAACTTAAAATGCAGTGTAATTTGCCACAGTGTATGTCCTGAAGTGGCTCACTAATGAAAAGAGGATTAACTCTCCATTATTCTGAATTACCATTTTGTGAAATCACTAACAATATTTTCATTTATATACGTATAACCCAAGGGGGGAAAATATTCCAGCCATCCAAGTGATTAACAAATAAAATTCATTAGATAACATGCACTTTGGTCTTATTTATGAAGAGAAAGATTAGGATATAAAAATGCAGATGACTGAATTTTTATCATCCTTGTTCTGATAATACACTTAAGTCCATGACAGCGTAACTGGTGAGCGCCGGCAGTTCAGCGTTACACACACAGGCGGGACTGAGAAGCAGAACCCATAGGATGCCAGGCTTGGCGGACGAAATCTGGCAGGCTTGGGCATCGGAGCCCAGTCCCACTGAGGTCGGCCCGGCCCTCGGCTGCTCACCAGCCACCGCAGGGTGGGCGCAGAGAGGGAAGGGGGTCTCAGCAGCTCACACGGCCTGGCCTCAGCATAGGCACAGCAGAGCAAGAGAGGAGCCGTGGCTTGGGCAGAGGGGAAGAGCGGGACTAGCCACAGGTTGCCCTGCCTCACGGGAAGGGAACTCCTGGCCCCAGATGCAGGGCTCCGCTCCTCACTACGCCTCGAAGCTGGGCTCAAACCTTCCTGCCCAGGAGAGCCTCTCCGGGACAACGGCAGTTCCCTCTAGCTGACTCTCCTCTTCATTCCTCCCCCACGAAGTAAGAGAGGCTGTCCTGGGCTGGAGCAGCACTCCCAGGAGCAAGCAGGCTGCAGAGTCCCTTATGCAAACCAAGGGCACGAGGTCCGGCCCTACTCCAGAGAGCTTTCACATCCAAGGTTCTGTGTCCCCAGCACAGTGTGGTGCCATGAAGCGACTGCCAAGCTGGTACAGGAAAGCTGCACTGGTACAGCATTCAGCCTGTGTTAACTAGTCTGTAAGGCAAAGCCTTTTTAGCCCCAGTGAAGCACTGCAAGGGGTGGGAGACTGCTCTGATGAGCCTGTGCAGGGGTAACCCTGCAATCTGTCTGCCAGCTGACTGCACCGGGTGAACACCCTGCAAGGGACAGTCTCCCCTCCCCAGCGGTCTGCAAAAGAAATCTGAGCTTTCCCTGCCTGGGCTTGTGATAGACAGTCATCCTTATACAGACAGTCATCCTTACACCCACCACAGCATTAAGAACCACCACAAAAAAAAAAAAAAAAAAATCCAATCCACTTTTTCACTTTTTAATCTAAGAGGGCAGGCTTAGGAACAGTCTTCCCTCAGCTCCGTTCAGTGTACACAGAACAGTCAGCAAGCGATGAGGTTAGCCATCTTTGATTCCTGGACAGACGCAAGTCTTTCCGTCCTTCTCCCCCCAACCAAATGTTTCATGGCAATTGATTCCAGAGCTCAAGCAGCAAAACAGCTCCTTTTACCCCCCTTCCCCTCCTCCTAGTTAAACTCTGTTACTTCTTACTTAGTCTAGAGTCAAATCTGAAATACATATTTTATTAGAGGAATTTCAACTGATGCTTTCCTGTGCTCTAATTCAATTTAAAAACCCTGCAGCAGATAACATTGGCAAGGCATAAAAGAACACAGCTTACTTGAAAGTCGGGGAGCATATGGCTTCCCAGGACAGACAGAAAAGAGTATTTCTCAGCAATGGTCTAACTTTCAGAGTGCTAACCAAGCTTCAAACTGAGACGGTGTTGCAGGACCACAAACGATCATTTACAGATGTAATTGCCCTGTTTTGAGGTCTGCAGTCTATGAGCAGGACTATTCATTTAACAAATCAATGTGCTGTGGCCACCAAGCATGATTACTGATTACACTGCTTTCTCTTCTTCCCTTCGTTTCCTCCCCTCCCATTTTATGGACCCATGAATAAAAGCACACTTAGTCCTTCAGCATCAAGGCAACAGGCTCTCAGTTACCCTAATTCCTTACTAGACAAATAGCAGTTCTTACCAAGTTCTAGATAACAGCCTATTCACTCCCAAAGTCAGACTGTATTAGAGTTGTAGCTCTGACAGTCTAATACTACCTACGCTGTTGAGTCTGGATGTAGAATTAGCATAATTCTGGCATGGGAAGGAAAAAGGCTCTCCTGTGGAATGGCTACTGGGGGCACAGAGATGGGACTTGGTGCTACTCAGAGGCACGCAAGGCTGAGCCCAAGGTAAATTTGCTAGAAGCTGGAATTCTCAGAGCCCTTTACAAATCTCAGCAGAGGACCACTTAGCTAAACATCATCATCATGTTTTAGGAAGCTTGGCTGAAAAATAGATCCCCCTGCCAGTGAAAGCAAGCCAATTTTTGAATAAAGGTGTATGCATGCCAAACAAAAACTGACTCCACAATTTTGCCTAGCTTTGGAGTAGGAAAACAGGAATCATTTGGCTTTTTCAAATTTTCCAGAGAAACAGAACATGACAGGCACAAAAGAGCCCAAACTGAGGAAACAAACCCTATGGGTACATGGGATGTCAGTGGAAAATGGTCATCCTGCTTTCAGGAGTGCTCTACAACAGCTGCATGAACGCATTAGCCAGATTTTTGTAATAAAAAGGACACAAATGTCACCAGTGGCCAACACAAAAAATTTGTGGGAGCCACTACAGGATTTGTTGCCTGCAAGAAAGGTGGATTTTTGGCAGGCTGTATGTGCACACTTCATAAGATCAAGCCCAACTCGACCTCTTCTTCTTACGAGTCTCATACGAACTCCAAGGTTCAACTTCTCCCTTCAAGGGGATGAGAGACAGGAGCAACTGCTGCCCTGAGACATCTGGGAATCCAGCAGGAGAAACAAGACAGACCCAACAGGGAGATGCAGCAGACAAGAAAGTCTGCAGCAAAAGGCTCCCAACATGGGAAAAAAAGGGAAACTTGTTTCAGAGGACAAGAGGGGAAGGTGGTTAAGTGACAACTGGCAAAGAAGAAATAAATAAACAAAATAAGGGGTAAACAGGAGGTCAAGCATGTGGCCAGCCCCAAATTCTAGTTCCTAGACATTTCCTGTAGCATAAAGATCAGCTGCACGAGCAGTTTAACTTTCCTGCTGACAACTTGCAGAACAAAATGTGCTTTGCCTTCAGAAATGTGCAAATCCACAGAAGAAAAGCAAAGGAGACATTACAACACCCATGTCCCTCACAATAATCCTTCTTCGACATTGTGCCTGGATCTATGACATGAGTATTTGTCTGGTAGTGTGCTATTTCCAGTGCTGTTACTTTGGACTGAAAAGCTCTCATGTACACCTTTATCATTTGTCAATCACTCCCTTGTTTCTTCTTCTTTACTGAGAATACATGCACATACTGTACCTTCACTCTCCTGCAAAATTTTCTTCAAGTAATCAAAAAATTAAAGTAAAAAATAATCTGAAAAATCCTTGAACTAAACATACCCAACACTCTATGCATGGGGATACCAGCTGACTTCTTTAGCAGGACAGTGCACTGCCACACCTGAGCTAAGGAGCACAGCATTGCACTCTTACAGCTGTACTGCACCTCCAGCAGCTGGTACAGTTGCTGCTGGTGCAAGAGTTTCTGTATCACATGTATTTCACTGAGCTTTTACCAGATATACTTCAGCTGCAGGGGATTAGGAAAGTTAAGCATGGATGCAAAAAATCCACCTGCCCAAGTGACAAGACTATTCTTGCAAACCTACAGTTACCTGCCTCGTCCTAAGGCAGTGTCTTCATGAAGGCATGGATGGGAGAAGTGTTGAGACTCAAGTTAGTCTCTGGCCTTTAACTTCACTCACTGGCGTTGTGAAAACTCCAGGCTGCCTTCTGAGCTCCCGCTCAGTGCCCAGCTCCTAAGTAAGGCACAGCCTTGGGGAAGTGGGGGAGGAGGGAGACCACCTAACTGAGCTGTAACTCTTGACTCCACAGCTGAAGGAGGCAAACTCTGCAGGGGAAAGCCTCCATCAGGACAGCAGCTGAGGAAATCACAGCAAGCAGGAAAGAATCTGGAGCTTCAAGAGATATGTAAAGCTGATACCAAAGGATTCAATACTAGCAGATAGCTCAAGCACATGGGACATCAAGGTTGTCAGTTCTGAGCAATACAGCTCTGACAGCATGGCCAGGCAAAGGGTGTTGTTTTTGGCAACATTAATGATACTCTGATTTTAACTACAGGACAACATTACTCTGTTGCTCCCTTCTATATGTTCATCAGTGCTTCTTCCTACCCACTTGGCATGTATGCACCTAGGTTAAAAAAAAAAGTGAACCCAGAAAGAAGGAAGTCCTTGAGCCCCATGCTAGCTAAAAAAATATTTTGTCAGTCAGTGGTGCTGCAAAAAGGCAAACTCTCATTCCTGCAAAAAGCCTATGAGGTTCAGTGTGCAAGGCTGCATTGAGATCTTGAAATAGTAGAACAGGTACACCCAGCATTCACCTGAATGGACATATTTTATCTCCCTGCGTTGCTGAAAATCACATAAAGGTAAAGCCTTTAGGAGACTGACAATTAATGATAAAGAAACATCTTAAATTTCCCCCACTCACTTCCCCTAGCTGCTCTAGATCCCTTGGATCAGGCTGCTAGACCTACCAAATTCTTACCAGTGGATTTTCCAGGAAACAAACTCCCAGTGGAGACCAAACTTCAGTGATCACAAACATTTGGTTTTTGCTCCCATTGCTGGTAAGCTCATCCAACAAAGTATTCCTTGCCTAGTTCAAGGGAGGCAGAAATCCAGGTGCGAGTCTGTGTCTGCCACAGAGCAGGTACATCCATCTCACACCATGCCCAGCCCAATCACATCTGGCCAGCACTGCTCCCAGTGTTCCACAACTGGAACAGAAGTCACTTGCTTTGTGCTTCCTCAGGTTAACATTCTGTTTTGGTTGCATTCCAGTTTCTTGCACATACTGAGCGCACTACTCCGCGGACAAGATGTCATCAGCAGATTTGAATGCTGGGAAGAAAAATGCATACATAGCAATCAAAGTAGATCCTGACAACGATTACTGTACCCCAGGTGCATTTGAATTGGAGCGACTCTTCTGGAAAGGATGCGCAAAGTACACTCATGTCAATGAAGTCTGGCCCAACCTCTACATAGGAGATGAGTAAGTGTACATAGTACTTCTCTTCTACATAGGAGATGAGTAAGTTCTACTAAGTACAGCTCACGAACAGAGAAAGGTGTTTCTTTCCTCCTACTACCCATTCATTAGTATTTAGTGCTGACAATGGGATTTGATGAGCTACTGAGAGATGCCAGAGTTCAATAAAGCAATCTGAGCCTGGCATGACCTTACAGATCAAGGCACACAGTGTTTGTCGCTGCCGCTTCAAGAAAGCGCTGGGTGAGTGCAGCGGGGTCTACTGTTAAAGACTGCATAACAGGAGTGGTTGTGGCACCAGTGTAGGCTGCAGAAGTTGAAGCAAGTCATGATCTATTTTTAAATGGCTCATTTCGAGTAATTTGTCATTTATCTCTGAGTGAAAGTCCTTCCACAATTACACTGACAGAAGAGCATGGCCTAGATGTGTTGGACCACAGCTTAGATTGGTTTAAGCCTAAAATGTAATCCTTGAGAAATGACTGAAGAGACAGCTCAACCCACAGTGGTATTTCTGCATTTCCAAGCCTGTGCTTGTGTACATGGGATACTCTGCATTTCCAAACTGCTCAAAAGATTAAAACAAACAACAGAACCCAGTGGAAGGCAAAGCTGCAGAGATGTGTCTCACTGATCAGATCAAGTGTGATTTGGAAAAAAAAACAAACCCACAAAACAGACTTAGGTCTGCCGAGCACAGTACTAAACTAGAAACAGCCTATGCCAAAAAGCAGAGACCACTGCTGTAGCAGGGAGACATGCCATCAGAAAATCCCCCAACCCAAACCCTGAGCAGAGGAAGAGAGCTTTTCTTACCCCTTAAGCATTACTGGTCTACTTCCCATTTTCCTCTACACCCTGCACTAACATGACATTTATTTTACATCATCACTTTAAGGCACAAGCAGCAGCCCACTGGCTCCAAATTTCTCAATAATTTTTTAAAAGGTCCTAAAATTCATCTGTTGCCAGCTTATAAAGGAGGAAAGATATACAGCCTTGAAAGTTACAAAACTCCTAATATCATCGACCAATTACTTCTGTGGCACCAGAGGCAATTAACCAAGCCTGGGCTCCCTCTTTTAGAGACAGAAAATAACAAAGCAAAAAAAACCCCAAAATTAAGCCACGGGAAGAGCCTGGCCAAATGACTCAGGAACAAAGGAAAAGGGAGTTGAGTTGTCCTCTCCCCCTCCTAGCCTGCCCCTCTTGTTAGATGTTTCTGACTCAAGATTCAGTGTAAAAAACAGCCCTTTCTGGCATATATTTCCTTCTTCCTTGTTCAGAATCACTAGCAGAATTATTTTGAACGAAGCTGTTAGAATTTCCCTCTTATCTCTGTGATGAAGCTACAGCTCTGCCCTCTAAGCAAAGGGATCTAACGAGACAACAGGTCTTTGGACAGTCAGTCTTTAAGCCCAGAACACCAGCCAATGACTCTTTCCTGTAATCATTCCTGTAGCAGTGTTTGTTACACCTTGTAATTTAATAAATGCTAGGAGATGTGACTGAATACAACGCACACCTGCACTTAGTACAACCTAACCAGAGGAACAGAAAACCAAGCTTCTTGAGAGCTACACCCACTTACGCTGGGCAGTGTATTTCTGCAGAGGACCAGTCTTAAGTCAGGAGGAAAAGCAACGGTGTTCCAAGGGGAAACAAGTCCGCCACGTGACTGGGACAAAAGAATGAAAAAGCAAATGGAGGAGAAAGAAGTGAGGAGCAGATGTGGGGTGAACAGACACAAAACTTCACCAAAAAGTGGGGCTCCCTGAAAGAGAACGATTATTATCAGCCAGATAAGGGCAAACTTGACATCCAGTAGCAGAAAATCTGAGATGAGAACTGGTCTGCAGGCAAAGTCCAGGGACCTCTGTATCTTTCCTCAGTCAGCTCCACATCTTACTTCTGACCAACAGCTTCCCCCTTCAGTGTGGCAGGGTTTTTTGTATTGTTTTATTTTAAGATCTTGCTGTAGCACTGGTCGCCAAAGAGCTGCCATGGAGACGTGAACAGATGTTGGGTATATTTGCATCCTTAGCCATGCTAAATTAAGGTTGTTCTTGAAAGAATTTAGTGGAGCTCATCAACAAAATCAAGTGAACACACACATGCAGAGTTTATCTTCAGAGCTTTCACATCTGTGCTTCATTCCTGCCTCCTGCATTTACAAGGTTAACAGGACTTGTGACTGCTTATGGAAATGCTAATTAATCACCCTGACTACGTAACCACATCTTCCTTCTAATGCAATACAGGCTATCAAGGAGCCCTGTGAGGCCACTCAATCCTTTTGTTACAAGGCTTCACTGCAGATGTTGCCCAGAGGCAATGAAATCTCCATGAGCCTGTCAGGCCCAGAATAATCAAAGCCTCAAAATATAACATGCTGTGTTCAGCTCCAATTGAAATTTTCCTCTAGCAAGTTCCAAGGACTTTTAAAGACCAGACACAAAAACTTGCAGGAGACAGCCCAATGATAGGAATAAAACATGCTTTGCCAAGATTTTGATTAATCTGCTACCAGGATTAGTGCTTGCATGTATCCTACCCACATCCAGAAGCCTTCTAAAGGGATAGAAAGCAGCTTTGTCTTGATCCATTCTTTCACTGGTCACCAGGTTACTTGCATGGGCAGTTTTACTGGCTGACCCCAAGCCTGCTTGGTTCACTACAATCACATGGAAAAAGTCTTGCCAGTGATGCAGCTTGTAGTTTCTTCTTGTGGCTCTTCAGTGATTGCCTTATTACCCAAGATTATGTTCATGGTTCCACATTTCTGAATTTCAAGAGTATTTTAGCTGAAGACAAAAGCCTCCCAAGATTTTGTTTTCCTCTTAACCACCCTCTAGCTCTCATTAGGATTTAAGGCCTGATCACAATTTCAGGTCTTTCTGTGTTCTCAAACTACTCCCAGAAGAAAAGAAGTCTTCTGGAGTCTAATTCCTTACAGGTTAAATATGAAAAATAATTTTCTGGATATGCAGCTAAACTGAGGTTGCACTTCAGGAAAGCTATGGTCTGTGCTTGTCCCAGAAGAGCCCCAGGGCTTATGGTCTTGAGAACTAACACAGGTAAGGTTCAACAAGACACGAGTAACTCAAACCTACAGATTGGAGTGTATGATAATTAAAATATATAACTAAACTTTAAATATATGCTTAACTAAAACTCATTCTCTCCTCTTCCCTTTGTCCAGAAAAAACAATACAGTATGGCTTTTTCCAAGTTACTAAGTAGAAAGACAATTTATACTGTTGTAGAAGAAAACAGATGGGACTCACTCAGGGTAGCAAATAGTTAGCATTATGAACTCCTAGGATCAACACCAGTATTTATCATACAAAAATAGGAATGTATGCAGGTTTAGATTATAACAACATTCTTGAGGACATAGTTTCAACTCTGTTAGTATAAGAATCTGCCAATTGTAACAGCAGTTTAACAATCCAGAAAATCGGATCTGTAACACTGGACCATAAACCTCTTAAAGCAGCAACGGTTTCCAAGGCAAGTAACACTTCCCCACACAACAACATCTCTGTCTATAGGCAATTTCTAACACTTGCTGAGTGACTGAAGTCAAAACCAGGAACTGAATGACTGCATCACAAGTGTTTGATGCCTTTGCTGTATAGAAAGCAGAGAGGTATTTTCTGTATCTAGGTTGTATCACTTACAAAACCAACATCCACTGTTTTAGGCTAGAGGAAAATGGACTACTAAATCTTTTTCTACCACATATTATGAAGATCCTGTTCAGTATTTTCCGTGGTAACTAAAAATTCTTCTAATTCACACTGAACAGGAGGTATCCACAGAAATGGAGCAACACCTCAGAAGGAAAAGGGGATACTATGCTACACTATCTCTAGATTCCCTCAGTGCTTTGGTAACTCAGTGGAGTTACCAAAGGAAATTGGGTCAGTATTATTGGAAATTCTCAGCATCTCTCCTCGGGAGGGAGAACTGCCAAATTTTCTTAAGAAAGTGTCAGTATTGCCTATATTCAGGAAGCTTCTTTCTGACATTGACCATCTGGTAAATTATCATCCTGCATCAAGCTTTCCTTCAGCGTTTAAGAAATTGGAAAAGTTTGAGAGAGACAATTCCTCTTCTAGTAACATGTTGCCTCAGATTTCCTGGTGTTTTGTTGATCTGGGTCACATCAATCGGTGGCTTTAAGACTACATTGATTCGGATGAAGCTTAAGAAACTTGGCTCTACTTAGAGCTTGCAAGCATACCAGTTGTCTGGTTGACGAGTACCCACTAGAAGGTGCTCACTTACCTGTGAAGGGAGCTGCTCTGCCCACACCCTCATGAGGCATTTTGCAGGATTACTTCCTTTCCTTTAGATGCACTTGGGTTTTCATCATGAGCCACCTTCTCTTCCCTTTGTTAGCTGCTTTTAAGATACTTAATACTTGATGTAGGTGCAGAATGCAGTGCCTGCAAGTTGTTTTTCCCTCTCGTCCAACTCCACTGGTTTGGGCATCTTCTTGATGAAAGCAGCTGGGACTAAAGCTTGTTATGACAGTATTTTTGAAGAGGGAAAGGATTTGGTACCCTGGAGACAGCAACTTGAAAGGAAGGATTTTCTTTCACATTACAACTACTGACATTGTTGCTTCCAGAAGAAGGCAGAGTTTGCTGCAGCACTTGCTTTTAGTCCTATGAATCTTAGCCTTAAAACTGACAGCAGGCACAGTTAAAGTCTTGGACAAGCCCTCTACTTGCCCTTGCACAACTCAAGAGGTATAAACAGTCTTTTGGGAACCATCTGAACATGGATGATGGTTTTGTTTGGGTCAGTTCTCCCTCTTGGCAATAGTCTGTTATTATCAATATATCCCTATATGAAAGTGTTTTTATCTCCAGTTTTCACTGTTTAGGTGGCATTCTCATATCAAAGTACTCCCCCTTGTCTCAGAACTTTAAAAACATATTTATGAGTCCATCTGTCCTACAGTAAATGCAGGGTCTGATTCAGCAAAGCACTGAGCTTTTGCTTAATATGCTTTGCTATAGAAAGAAGGACTTCTGGGTATGCTTAACTTTTAGCATATGTTTATGTGCTCTGAACTGAAGAGCTGATGAGTTTTTACATAGGACCAATCTGCCCAGTTCATCTCTTATTAAACTCAATTATACTGGAATTTTCACTGTTATCTCCCAGTGCCACACTTCACCTTCTCTGCGTAAGAACACATTCAAGGCAGACACTGGAGACCACACTTGCACCATGTAAAAGGAAATCAAGTGCTAATAGCACAGATGCTGGAGGTATACAAAATGCAAGAGTAGTCAAACGCTTCATGGCTTCACCTACACTGGCATTTGCAGCAAACTCCTCTTTACAATGGCTACTTAAAATTCAACCATAATCACAACAATGGAAATATTAATTGCAATTGATAAATATTCTTAGCTTGATTTAAACCTGGTAGTGAGCCAACTGCAAGCAAAAAAAACCTGTGCCATTTCTAGCTGAAAGTGAATTAGAAATAGAGTTATAAATCCTCCAATAAGGTATATGATTCATGTACCCCTGAATGATCCCATGCTATTAGTCACCTCAACCAATCGGATATTTGCAGATTCTTTATGCTTGATTTTTTTCCTTCCTTTCATCTAAAATACTGACACCTCAGGCATGGTAAAAACTGCAAGGAAGACCAAAAGCATTCCCCCCTCCTTGGGATGTAACCAGGAGTATCATGTATGATAAAACACACAAAAAATTAGGCTCTGATTAAAGTAAAGAGATAATGAGGGATGCTTCCACAACAGCATCCACACTACAGATTCAGCTGAGGTTGGAAAGCAAGCCAAGTCCTTCACAAAAAGCTGGAGTTCACTGATGACTAAAGCCAGTCCAAGCAAACACGTCAAGGGGCACAGTAACATTTCCATTTACAGGCATATAGGTCCCCCTCTATGAGGGCTTAACAGCCTGTTTCTTGCTCTCTGTTAACTGGCAATCAACATGCTGCAGACACAGCATGACCCCAAGTTTAACTGCTTATATTATAGCAGTGTCAAGAGTCTCAGCACAGGCTGTCCCTGCCCAATAGCATTTATGGTCAATGGGCAAGATAAAAAGACAGCTGATAGGAGTGAAAAAGCAGGCAAACCCAGGTCAGTATGACGAGTGGTGGTCCAGCTGGGCTGTTTGCCTAGCTTTTGGGGAAAGGTTTTACAAGAAAAAAAAAAAGAGCAAAATTTTTGAAAGAACAGTAGAGATCTCTCTTATGAAAACTAATTATCAAGTAGCAAGACTGAGGGGATGGAGAGAAAGGAAAAAGAGTGTAAGTGCTTCCCAATCTCCATATCAAGTTTGAAACCAAGCACTCTTGCTCTTGGAAAAGAGTGTCACTTCAGCTTTCTTCAGAAGATGCAGATTCTAAAGCCCAAGGCAGGCACCTCTTGCAGTCCTGTGAACTCTATTTTGTACTGAAAAATGATCTCTACACAACATGATGTATTAGAAACCTTAGGAAAAGCTTTCTACAGATAATATTGTCCAGGGTATCTGCTGGAAGAAAGGTATCCGACATCTTCTTCACAAATTACACACAGTAGGTCAGCCTGCAGATGCACAAGAAATATACCCACAGGACCTACACTGACCCTGCCCTGTTTAGCCAGGGCAAATATTTTAGTTCTTGGTTCAACTAACAGGTTGTACAACATGTATACACAACACAGTTTGAGTATCTATTCCAGTGAAAATGTGGAGATTCTACCAGATTTGAGTGCTCGACACTAAGCATTAATTTTCTGGAAGTTTTGAAGATGAGCAACATCAGTAGAAAGAAGAAAATGTGCATCCATATTATAAAGAAAAAGATTATATTGGATAAGTTTACATTCAGTCTGAAAGGATATTGCTGCATCAGTTTATGTATCAGGCACAATTAAAAAGCAGATGACATTTTAAAATCAGCCTATCCCAAGCACTGAGGAAAACAGAGTATAAATTCTTCAGTGCCATTAACAGTGGAGTAGATAACCCCCGAAGTATTTCCTTGGCAAACCTGTAATTTACTTAAAAAAAAAAATTGCAGAAGATGATCTAGTTACATCTGAGCATTTACAATGGGCTTTTTGCAACAGCATTCAAGGTCGATCCTATTGTTTTACATTGTCCTTGTTCAGAACAACTTGATCATTTGATTCAAATGCTATTTATCAGCCTGAGCAGTGCTTGCAGAAACCAAAGTTTGGTAGTATCTACAGTCTATGAAAAACTTTGTTTTTCCACTGACCCTAACTACACTGCAGTCCTACTTACTATTCACAATGTAGGCCTCCACTTGCAGGGGTTCCAGCTGAGCACAGATCTCTGACCTGAAACCATCAGTCTTTCATGGTTTGTTGGATACATGCTTTGGGCCAAGTCTGGTGAATGGAAAACATATTTTCTCTATCCCAGCATCAGGGAGGCAAAACAAAATAAGGCTTAATTTGGAAGCAGAATCTCAAGCACATAAAACCAAAGAGAATTAGTTATTCACTGCACCTTTACTCTTCGGCCAGGACATTTAATCTGTTTTTTAAGTGCTGGCCATCCTTATAGCCCCGAACAAAGTGCCTTTGCTGGCAAAGCAATTAGACCATATGAGCCTGAAGAGAATCCTAAGGCACATATCTCCTAAAAGGAGGGAGAAAAAGAAAAGTCTGTCTAGGTCAATCACTGCAACAAGAATACAAACGGAACAAGTGAGCATTTTTTAACCTGAGATGAAGGTGGCAAGTCACAGCTCTAGCAGCAAGATGCTGCTGCTTCTCTGTCCTCCAGAGTCTACTGAGCTTAGGCAGGCATCACCACACTAGGGGAGTTTTTATTTACTTTTTTATACCATCGCATAGGGGACTTAGGACATTATTTCATGGCAAAAATACCAGTAGAGTCAAGACGTTATCATTCCTGTCCAGAAAGGACTTTCTGCAGGGAGGAATATCTCCTCAGAACAGCCAATTATCATGAGCTTAATTTAAAGAAGAGCGAGCAGAGGTAAGACCTTAAGTATCCATATCCCAGTTAAATGCTCTAATCACTAGGTTCTTGACTGCTCAAAGGGGGATTTTGACTTTGACAGAGGCCTGCAAGGTGGAGTCAACTTCAAGCTGTTCTGACCTGTCACCACTAGAATTATGAAACAACAGGTAGCCCACCACAATGTCCTGTGTGACAGCAGCTGTATTTACACATTGAAATGTTCAGGAAACATTCATGGAGAGAGGTACTTTTGGTTGGAAAGTACATGATGTGAAACAGCTTTAACTCATTTATGGGAGCAGTAGTTACATGAAAATATATTAACAGAATAAAGCCTATGCAATTTTATGTAAAAAGCTCAGTAGTCTTCCTAGGCACTAATGGAACTTGACAGCTTTTCCAGAACAAAGCTTTCCAAAATAAAATAACAGAACAGAAAAGTTTTTACATACCTGTCCACAAACTGCAGAATTTCAGGCTGCTGGTGAGCACTTAAGAGTGCCTATTGGGTATACAAAAATCTAGGATTTCCTCTCCTACCTGTCTTCCCTTGAGCAAGGGAAGAGAGGACAAGAATAAATTAGAATACTGGGCTAAATATATGACTTTCAGCTTTCACTGAAGGCTAATATCCAATTTCCATATCTAGTTCTTTTTGCTTTAGACCTCTGGTTAACCAAACATGACAGTAAAAGGAAACCTGATAGGGACTTGTGACTACAGAAGGGTGAGTTTTTAAATTATTTTTATTTTTTAAAGTAGAAATGGAGAAAAAACTCAGTAACTTCTTTTAGGGATGAAGAGCTTCTTTCTGAATCCCAGATGATTTTACTACTTGCATATCACTGACTCTTTTATTAGTTCTGCAATATCAATTGATGGGACAGAAGGGGAAAGCAGCATTCATGGCTCCTATTTCAAGTTCTGCCACTGATTTGCTTTTATGACTTCAAATAATTAATTCTATTTCTTTCTGTATCTCAAGTTTCTTCTTGTACAAGACGGATAGAAGCCAGGATTGCCTACATTACAAAGGCGCCAGGAAAATAAATTCATTTTTAAGGTGCTCTAAGGACCTGGGAGAGATAGTTATGAACTCCAGAAGGATCATTCACTCTGAATGACAGTATCTTAAGATCTTTACAATGGTAAATGATGCATTTTTGCAGCATTATCAATTTCATTAACATTTTGAACATACCAAATCAGAGATGGTTTTTTTTTTTTCTGGCTTGCTGGGTAAGAAACTTCTTCACTTACATGACAGCTCTTGTTTTAAACAGGAAAACTGCGTTAGATCGCTACAGCCTTGAGAAGGCAGGCTTCACCCACATCCTCAATGCAGCCCATGGTCAGCGGAATGTGGACACAGGACCAGAATATTACCATGACATGACTGTGGAGTATCATGGAGTAGAAGCAGATGATCTCCCCACTTTCAAGCTCAGCCAGTTCTTCTACTCAGCTTCTAAGTTCATTGATAATGCACTTCAGGATGAAAGAAGTAAGGAGGGTGCTGAAAATGGTTAAAAACAGTACAGTTATTTACTCTGTCCGATTATAAGCATAGTTCCATGGCATTCAACCTTGTGGGAATGAAACAAGTCCAATACAGTTTAACAGAGAATATAAAACTAGTAGCACGGAACTAGTTTAAGAGAAGATAGTGATGTAACTAGGACCCTTCTCACTGCAAAGCTAGTACCAGCCCAAGAGCCCCTTACCAAGCACTTTCATAAAAGCCCACATCACAGCTTGCATTAAGGTCTCCTGTCTGACAGAGGTTTTTTGTTGTTGTTTTGACTCTTATCATAAACACAATCAAAGACAATTGGACATTGCACAGGTTCCATGTATTAGCTGTCTTTTCCTCAAATTAGTCCCTATCCAAAAAGATTTAATGAATACTGGTTGCACAGTAGTGGAACACATGTGCTCTGCAGAGATTCCAGGCTGTCACTCCACAGCTTCATGCTCTGCAGCATTAGATTCACTCTACAAATATACAAACCACCTTCCTACCAGGCCATCAGATCTACCCAGAGCTATAACATTTATCTTTCTGCCATCTTCTAAGCAGCAGGGGACCAAAACAACTCTGCCAGCAGAGACCTAGAAACATCTCATTAAAACCTTTGTAATTTCTCAGCTTGATTACCACAATTCATTATTTGCTGACCCCCAGCAGTGTTCTATCAGAAACCTTTACACTGATGTGAAATGCTACAGCCTAGGCCTCACACTGGCTTTCAGTATTACTCCTACTCCTTCCCCTTACATGTTTTTTTTGTTGTTTGTTTGGGATTTTTTTTGTTTTTTTAAATCTCTATAGGATATTTTACCAGAAACCAGCTGAGAAACTGAAGACTTTCCTGCTGACCTACAAAGACCTTAATATCAGAGGGTCACATATCAAGTTTCTAGCCTCGTGTCAGCTTCTGTTCTTGGCTGTTTAGCTCAGCTGTAGCCAGCTACTACCTCGCTTGCCCCCAGTAGCCAGCCAGGTCTTTACAATTTTACCCTCTCAGCAAGTACACCCTACAACAACAATCCCTTCCTTTGTTCAGGAGAGAGTCTTGAAAGCAGTTCAGTTTTAAAAATCAAAGTCCTAATAGCAGGAGAAACTGCTTCAGGAGCTTACTTGCTTGTGGAGAAAGGTACCCAGCATTTCAAAAAATTATGTCTGAAGCACTGCCTTTGGGAAGGAGTGGATAACTAACATGCACCTGTGTCTAGCCATGGCTGGAGGCCAGAGATCAGTATCAGACTGGAGTACTTGAAATAAGAAATGCAGACTTCCTCACTCCCACCACCCTCCTGTTCCTGTAAGACCTTTGTCTGCTGCACTGAGGTAAAGAAACAAGCACAAGGGAAGCAGCAAAGGCTAGATAAAAACCTTGCATCCCAATAAATATTGAGGCAGGGAAAGATGGGATGGGGGGAGAGGGGAGTATTAACCTTTTTGTTTCAAAACCACATCAAAGTCCAGGAAACTCTGAGACAGCATCAAGCATCAGTCCAGCACTGAAACACAAGACCAAATCAAAGAGTGACTGGATGAACTTCTACAAAACAAATCTGCACTTAAGTAGATACTACTGCAATCATTTCTGTAGCTGTGCACTGCCTGCCACATTCACATGGTTTTTAAACAAGATAGCTAGGATCTTTTCTGATGGAGACCAATAAAGAATTACTGTAACACTCATGAAGAAAAAGAGCAAGCTCTTCACTTTGTCATAAGGGAAAAGTACACTAAACATACATCTCCAATCCCAGCCACAGATAGGCATAAATGCACATATGCATGGCCCACTAAGACATTGAGCTTGAATGCATGACAATAGCTTTCCAATACACATTTACAGAACAGAATAACTGCAGAAGCTAGACTAAAGAGGCTGTTACACTTAAAGGAGAAAATACTAGAGGCAAGTAACTAGTGCTCTCCTCCAACAACATGAATGCATTATTTGTGAATGCACATCTAGTGGAGAAAGGTGCTCTGTATTTCATGTGCCTAATGAAAGGACTATTTGCATGCATCTTCCTGACTGACAAATAGCATCCAGATTCCGAAACAGGATTTTATAGTAAGTCACCAAGTGCCTATCTCCAGTGGTAATAACACGGGACTTCAGTATATAGTGCTAAATACTTCTGATCAGTAACGCAATTACACTCATTTGCCACTTTGCATTAGAACTGAGCAAACGCGAACAGAGGGGAAAAAGGGAAAAAGAAAAAAAAGTTTCAACTTTTGTGACCAGAATGTACTTCGGCTGTATCACATTGTTTGGGGTGTGACCTTCAGCCAGCCCAGTGATCAAATTCATTGAATAGATGTCTTCATACAATGCTTTTTGCTGGGAAGATGCTCAATAGTCCGTGTTGTTGAAACAAGTTGTCATGCAAATGAAGACGACGCTCTGCAACAGTCCAGAAAGCTTGGCAATTTGGATGCTGTCAAAACACAGTCCTAATGCAGTAATTCTGACTTAACCCTCAAAATCTTTGTGATGGTGAAGAAACTCCTTGATCAGAGCAGTATTTGCAGAGTGTAAGCATGGGCAGATGGATGTAAGAACAGTGAAAGTAGCTCAGTTGTAAGAGTAAGTTTTAGAGGCAAACTCGAACTGTTCACAATTATGCATGCTAACATTCAGCTGTGCATAAAGATTTCCCCAAACATGCAATTTGGACCATAGAACAGCTTAAAATTTATACCAGCAAGGCCTGATTAACCTGAAAGGAAGAAATTATTTTAAGAGGTTTTTAAGTTCCCCACTATGCTACAGATTTAGTACTCATTCCCTTGGTGTCTTAGTTCCTCAGAATGTAAAGTAGAGGGGAATAGCACTTTCTCTTCACGTGAAGATGTCACGGGAAAAAAAATACACTAAAGACAGAGCTAAAAAAAGTAACGTGAGAAGAAACATGAGACAGATACAAGGACCCAAGGCATTTGACCAAAGACACCTTAACATTCATCACTCCATCTGACTCTGGAAAGGGAATGCTGCATCTAGACAGATTTTCAAGAAACACAAGCCCAAGTCAAGTGACCAAAATAGTTCAGGGACCTGTCACCACTCAGCAAACCTCTGGCTCTGTGCACTGGTATTTTTTTATTCAGCCACACCTTGGAGGATGTTAAGTGGTCAGAATCAAAGACTGCAAGAGCAGACTCCCTCTTGGCAAAGAAGGTTCAGATTGGTCCTTACATCAGAAGAGGCTATAAAATAGTACAGAAGGGACATGGCTCTGCAGAATAGTGCCAGCGTTTTGCTGTAACAGGCAGTCAGATGTTGAATATTCACATACAGGAAAGGACAGACTTCATTTTCCTACAATCAGGGGGCATTTCAGAAAATTGTACGGCCATTTCTTGCCTTTGTTAAAACAGTATAAAACCATTCATTTTCTCCCATATCCCCTTGCATTTGCCACCCACACAAAGTAAAGCCTTCCTTTTCCTATCATGTATTTTATCACCTCAACAGCAACCCATTTACAAGGTAGGAAGCTCTAAAGAGAAGCATGAAGGGCTGAACAAATGAGAGTTTTCATCCGTTTCAAATATTTGCAGTAATAATAGAAGGGATTATCATTTTCCAGGAGAGGAAGAGGCACTTTTAGTTATCAGAGAGACTGGAATTTTGCCAAGATGCCTCTAAGACTATCTGCTAGGATTAGGATGCAGACTGTAACCATTAATCCTCTAGTGTTGGCAGTTCTTGATGCGTCCATTACACAGCAATGCTACTTGTGCCAAGACATCCTCTTGCGCCTGGAAGCAAAGGAGTTAATCGGCAGGAGTCATGGCTTCGCACCCAACACCTCCCACTGGGCAGAACTGACAGAGATAAACTATTATTGCCCCCCCCCCC